AAAATGTGCTGCACACATCTGAATATTTGGGTTGAACTGTTCTGGAACAGTGTTGTAAATACAACTTAACCACTGATTTCTAGTTGTGTCCTCTTTTGGAAGACCAAACAAAGTATTTTCGCTTTCGCAACGAAACAGTGTCTTCACAACATGGCAGTGGCGGCAACAATAAAGTTACACCTTCTTTCTTTGCGTGAACATTTGGGCGGCGTTATGCAAATCTTCCCACACAGTGACGTAGACATGTGGGGGCGTGTTTAAACGAGGCGTTTTAGGAGGGCATGGACCAGTCTTCACTTTTATAAAGAATATCTCTTTGGGTTTGCAACTTTAGTCTTTGCAACTTTAGGGATCTTATCTATTCACGAACAGCCTGTAACACTCCAAAGAGAGAGGAAAACTTGAAATCGCATCATATGACCCCTTTAAGAAAATAATTTTTTTTCATTGAATGGGATTTTCAGACTGTTGCGCTCTATGCGATGCATACAGAAAATCAACATGATGTACAGAGAATACGTACACTGCAAAAATAGCATGCATAGTATTATAGTGTGTAAGAAAATAATTTTTTGTTCCTAGAGAAGTATTTAGTTTTAGCCATAGGAGTATAACCTTTCCAGACAGACCTACCATGAGCTCTGAGGTTATGAAATGATGCAGTATGCTTCCATAAAAGCCACAAACTCAGTGTGAGTTTGCATTTAATTGCTGAAATCTTTCCGGAAACCCGAGAGAAGTGGGCGGTCGGTGAGTTGGAAGACATTTGCACGGTTAATGCCAGATGGCTTGCCGCTTAATAGTGAGAGATATTGACGAATTTGCATGTGCATTAAAAAATTAATGGAAGAAAAGGTAAGATTGAAGAACACATGCATATAACGCTTCAAGCTGTTTTTTAGATTTAATATTCCAACGTTGTCACACTTAAATAGTTTCAACCCATGAGGAACGCGAGGATGAGGAAGGGAGGGTCGTGAAATGATTTCGTGTGACAGAGGAGGAGGAGGAGGCCGAGGGAATGAAAGAAGAGAGAGGCATAGAATGTGTAAATTGATTTGAAGGTTGGAAATGCATGAATAATTAATATCCAGAGGAAAACACTGCTCACTTTGTAGTGGGTCTCTTGCTCGAGAGAGAGACGGAGTGAGAGATAAGTTTCTTGTGTTCGGAGTTTTAATCCGGCTACTAAAGAAGTGAACACACACACACACACACACACACACACACTTGGCTGTGTAATCCAGTCTGGTCATGGGGAGCCTTCAGAGGGCCGTGGTGGCCAAGTGCTGAATTGATTTTACACACTTCTTTTCTTGATCACTCAGAGGCCTTTTTTGTGTGCTTTAAACTCACAGACCTCTTAGATTTAGATATTTTAAAAAATGCCCTTGAAAGGCTTGAAGGATTGAGATTTTAAGTGGTCAAACATCACTAATATTATTGCTATAGTCACTGTTAGTGATTTGAACAAACCCAACATTTTCATCAAAATACTCTGAAATGATTTTTTTCATCTGATGTCATCAGTCCCTCTTATTAAATAGAGACACTTTTTATCATGCAGTCAATTCCTCATAGATAAAATCCCACTCAGTCCTTTTTTCCCCTCATTGAATATCGTTGTACTTGGAAATTCATCACATTTAAGAAGTAAAGAGGTTTGTGATCATTTCAGAACAAGACATTTTAACATCTTAGTTGTAATAAACTGACTTTTTGCACTGGAAAATGAGTTATGAGATCTGAAGGTTAAGAAATGTCTACAGTGCATTATGTATTTATTTTTTCAAAATAAAGGATTATATTTTTTATTTAACTTTTCATGATGTGGCCCTTTTAATAAATAGTAAAGAAAATCTTATTATTAAATCTTGTTTTCTCGTTTAATAATAAGATTTTTTTATTTATTTTATGTGTATTAAAGGGGCAATATCATATAGTAAAACAAGATAAAGAGGTGAATTGTTTCTTTATAATAAATATTTGTATTTTAATTAACTTTTTTGTTTTATTTTATTTTATTTTATTTTACTTTTCATGATATGTCCCTTTAATAAATATTAAATAAAATCTTATTTATAGACTTACTTTTTATAATAATAATAAATAACTATTTATTAAAGGGAAATTAAAAATTCATACCATAAAATTAAAATAAAATAATAATTAAAAAAGATCAAATAAAAATAATAAATGTTCATATTTTATTGAATCTATTTTATTTTACTTTTCATTGTATAATCCCTTTAATAAATAGTAAAAAAAAAAAAAAAAAATCTTTAATTTTATTTCTTGTGTCTTGCCGCTTAATAGTGAGAGATATTGACGAATTTGCATGTGCATTAAAAAATTAATGGAAGAAAAGGTAAGATTGAAGAACACATGCATATAACGCTTCAAGCTGTTTTTTAGATTTAATATTCCAACGTTGTCACACTTAAATAGTTTCAACCCATGAGGAACGCGAGGATGAGGAAGGGAGGGTCGTGAAATGATTTCGTGTGACAGAGGAGGAGGAGGAGGCCGAGGGAATGAAAGAAGAGAGAGGCATAGAATGTGTACATTGATTTGAAGGTTGGAAATGCATGAATAATTAATATCCAGAGGAAAACACTGCTCACTTTGTAGTGGGTCTCTTGCTCGAGAGAGAGACGGAGTGAGAGATAAGTTTCTTGTGTTCGGAGTTTTAATCCGGCTACTAAAGAAGTGAACACACACACACACACACACACACACACACTTGGCTGTGTAATCCAGTCTGGTCATGGGGAGCCTTCAGAGGGCCGTGGTGGCCAAGTGCTGAATTGATTTTACACACTTCTTTTCTTGATCGCTCAGAGGCCTTTTTTGTGTGCTTTAAACTCACAGACCTCTTAGACTTAGATATTTTTAAAAATGCCCTTGAAAGGCTTGAAGGATTGAGATTTTAAGTGGTCAAACATCACTAATATTATTGCTGTAGTCACTGTTAGTGATTTGAACAAACCCAACATTTTCATCAAAATACTCTGAAATGATTTTTTTCATCTGATGTCATCAGTCCCTCTTATTAAATAGAGACACTTTTTATCATGCAGTCAATTCCTCATAGATAAAATCCCACTCAGTCCTTTTTTCCCCTCATTGAATATCGTTGTACTTGGAAATTCATCACATTTAAGAAGTAAAGAGGTTTGTGATCATTTCAGAACAAGACATTTTAACATCTTAGTTGTAATAAACTGACTTTTTGCACTGGAAAATGAGTTATGAGATCTGAAGGTTAAGAAATGTCTACAGTGCATTATGTATTTATTTTTTCAAAATAAAGGATTATATTTTTTATTTAACTTTTCATGATGTGGCCCTTTTAATAAATAGTAAAGAAAATCTTATTATTAAATCTTGTTTTCTCGTTTAATAATAAGATTTTTTTATTTATTTTATGTGTATTAAAGGGGCAATATCATATAGTAAAACAAGATAAAGAGGTGAATTGTTTCTTTATAATAAATATTTGTATTTTAATTTACTTTTTTGTTTTATTTTATTTTATTTTATTTTACTTTTCATGATATGTCCCTTTAATAAATATTAAATAAAATCTTATTTATAGACTTACTTTTTATAATAATAATAAATAACTATTTATTAAAGGGAAATTAAAAATTCATACCATAAAATTAAAATAAAATAATAATTAAAAAAGATCAAATAAAAATAATAAATGTTCATATTTTATTGAATCTATTTTATTTTACTTTTCATTGTATAATCCCTTTAATAAATAGTAAAAAAAAAAAAAAAAAATCTTTAATTTTATTTCTTGTGGAAATTATCCAAATTAGAGTCTCCCACATGAGCATCACCGCTCAATTTGCAGGACACATATGCACTGACTGGCAGGCCACAAATGATCTCTTTCTCTGTAAAGGAGATTTGTTCTGATACATTAATAATTTTAATTAATACAAAGGGATTTTTACTTTTATTTTAATGCAAAGTTTTCTTAAAAATGGAAACTGAAAGTTGAGACCATGAACAAAAAAAAATTGTTGTCAGGCAGAAAATTGCTACTAGCGTTTAGGCAACTCAGAGCTGGCAAACACACAGAGAGCATTTGCCTGAAGGAGACAGGGTTGTTATACTATTTTTCTAAGCCAAAAATATGTGCAGTTGTGCAGTTTGAACCTCAAGGTGATGGCAAGCAGATTCTGGTACTGTGGTCCAACTAATCATCCTGGCAGGAAGATTTAAATCAAAGTATTGAAGAGAAACATGGTTTTACTCTTAAATACAGTCCACTATATTTCAACAGAAAATATCCTTACATGTGTCAGGACCAGGAATGCTGCCATATTCAATTGTGGAAATTAAACCGTGAAGTGACAAAATTCTTTACACAAAGACATTCTTTTGACACGGATGTGAAATTGTAAGGGTCTCTGCAGGGCCAGTATTATTTCCATTGAGGAGCCATTTCAGAAAGAGCTAGTAATGAGGATGTGCTTCAGATTACTCAATATAATTGGCTCAAGAAACTGTGCTTTATGTGTCCCCTTGACTTACTACTGTTATAATTAATATAAAAATAATGTTATAATTAATAGCATACTGTACTCTGTCACTTCATTTGGTGTTCTTGTTTCATGTATAATGGAAACACTCTCAAATTCAGTCAATTTATATTGTTCGCAGTTATATTTCATTGGGTTATATTTTTTATTTAAATTGAGCTTTTATCGGAAATATGTTATACTATTTGTTTTGTCTAAATAGTGAAAAATCCTATTTAATATTTCAATATTATTTGTTAATCATTTTAATATTCTAATTAGGTAATATTATTAGAATATTATAATACTATTAGAAGATCCCTGACTTCTGTCTCAACCCTGCTGTACTGTGGTATTTCCAGACTTAAAAATAATGCTTTTAAATTAAAGTAAATAAATAGTAAAAAAAAAAAATAAAAAATCTTTAATTTTATTTCTTGTGTCTTATATTCTCTTGTTTAGGTTCAGATGGGGCACTGGCACCAGAGAGAGGATGCTCATCAAGGTGTCGGATCGGGAACCCAGTTTTCTGACGCAGGGAAACGGATACTCCAGTTCTTCCCCACGCTCCAGACGCTCGTCCAACAATGCTCCTTCAGACCCTGAAGCCACGCCCCTTTCCCTGCCCGACCGCCCCGCATCGCAGTCTCCGTTCCAGAAGAGGGCGGAGTTGGGCGGCACTCAGCGCCGCTGCTCGGGCGATTCCCAGCCATCGTCGCCCCGCTATGCTTACGAGCCTCCTTTGTACGAGGAACCGCCCTCGGAATACCAGTCCCCGCCTATTTATGAGGAACCGCCCACTGACATGCACTGCGACCAGGCCTTTTTTGGCTCTGACAGGTCTCCGGCACGAAAACCAGGTCTTTACCACTCCCCCAAGCAAAGCCCATCTCCTTATGGTCAACTGGTGTTGACGAGACAGCGGAGCTCCACCCCCGACAAGACGCCCAACCAGGGTGATCGAGACTATAGCTCAAGTGGGCGGGACTACAGCTCTGCAGGGCGGGACTACAGCTCCAGTGGGCGGGATTATAGCTCGGGCATGAGGGACTACAGCTCTGGTGGGCGGGATTACAACTCTAGTGGGCGGGAGTATAGCGCAGCTGGGCGGGAATATGTAAAGCAGCTAGTTTATGTCGAGCAGTCTGGCTCCTCCCCTCGGTTTAGGACGACAGAGCGTCTGCTGAGCTACGGCACGACCAGTTCAAATAGCCTGTCAGCCGGATTTTCTTATGGTGGCTCCTTTACGTTACAGCACAGTCACGACCTCAACGGCGGCAACCGGAAACGTAAGAACCGGAAGCCGTCTTTGCCGGGAGGAGAGGGTGACTGCATGGGATCCGGTCTTGGGGCGGTGATCACTCAAGCCCGGTTGGCATGGGAGGCTCAGCAGATGTTACATCAGCGAGGGGGCGTGTTTTCCGAACAGGGAGCAAAAGACGGGTATGAAAGTGATGGGGCGATGCCCCTGCCGCTGCCTGGTCCGGTGGTGCGAGCGTTCAGCGAAGACGAGGCCCTTGCGCAACAGGACAGCCACTGGAAACGTGCCACCCTGGACAGACTGGCATTTCCTCAGACGCTGCTAGAAAAGAGTCTGTCGGTGCAAACCAACCTGGCATCACCTGAACCTTACCTCCATCCCTCGCAGGTAATGCACAACCACAGAAACTCAAAACATTGCCTAGATTCTCATATTTATGACACTGCAGCAGATGGGAGGCAATTACCAGATTATTGTGATACTAGGGACACATTACAGTCCTGACTGCCATTTATTTTAGGTGCTGCAACACTCTGCAACTCTTTTTTATGATTTATGTGAGTCAAGCATCACCTTTACAATTAGTTACTGTATACTTTGGGTTAATCCTCTAGCTTTCTAACCTCTAGTATTAGACTTCTGCGTGTGTGTCGTCCTGTAGCGTTTGTGCTCCAGACAGCTGTATAATTAGTTTAATAGGTAATCAAATGCACCATTTTTACTTTCTGGACCATAAAACAGATGCAAGATCCCACCAGACACGCATTGAAAGATGCATAGCAACAGTCTAAAAACAAGGAGATCACAAATTTGGAGATACAGAACTCTTTTGCCGCGAAACAGTAAAGCACCCTAGCAACTGCAATGATTTAAAATCCTTCTGTAATGCCCTAGCAACTGCATAACAAAGCTCTAAAAGCTGACCAGAACCCCCTAGTAACTGCATAGCAACGCTCTAAAAACCTCCAAGAACATCCTAGCAACTGCATAGCAATGCTTTGAAAACCTTCTATAACGCCCTAGCAACTGCATAGCAACACTCGAAAAAATGGCCAGAATGCCATACAAAACTGCATAGCAACCCTCTAAAAAATGCTCAAAAAACCATAGCAACTGCATAGTAACATTCTAAAAACCTGCTAGAACACCCTTAGCAACTGCATAGCAACGCTCTAAAAATGGCCAGAAAGCTCTAGCAACTGCATAGCAACTCTCAAAAAAAAAAAAATACACCAAGAAAGCCTTAGAAACTGCATAGCAACATTCTGCAAAACTTTTCATAATGCCCTAGTAACTGCATAGCAACACTCTAAAAACCACTCAAAACACCTTGACAACTGCATAGCAACACTTTAAAAATAATCTTACTAAAAATGATTTAAAAAAAATTGTTTACCCCCCCTTATCATGTGACCATTAACCAACATCAGAGAACTATGAACATGTGAATGTGTTATTGAAATATGAACTTTAAATCTCAGGGTTATTTCACGTAAATGTTTTAGCTCAAAGGGAATCGAATGAAAAAACTTTGAGAATCGCTTTAATGAAATGGTGATTAGGGTGGAATAGAATGTTATGAATGTGAGATACAGAGGAATGCACTAGAGCAGCTCAAGTTTTCTGAGGCTTGAGGGAAAGTAAAGGCTCCAGGAACTGTGGCTTTATTATACATTAGACGCACTTCTTCACTGTTTAATTAACAGCAATGAACTCCAATCATGTTTTCTGATTATGTGTTATGATGTCAGTGCTCTGTTTTTGCAGTTTTCAGCTGCGTAATAAGAAGTTTTTTGGACACATTGGTGCTGAGGTGAATGAGTTGGAATCCTCTGATGAGCTGAACTCTGAGCTCTTTCAGCCCAATATAATGAGTCCAGAATCAGGCCTGAACCGCTGCTTAAACGCTGCCAGTGAGGTTAATTGGGACAGCTGACCCTCAGACGCTTGTTACCCAACCAGTCATATCTTTGTTCTGAAGATATCGGGCTGAGCTGAGCTGATCTCACCAGCTAAATGCTGTGAGTGTTTCCTTGGAGGGATTTTTAGGTTCTGCTCTATTTGCGGATAATAATGGAGACAGACAGGAAATGCTGTAAGACAAACAGTCACGCAAACCCTCAACATTAATGATGATTCCCAAATAAAAACATGCAGCTCAGACAATAATCTCAAAACCTCCCAGAGTGCCCTAGCAACTGCATAGCAACAGTCCTAAAAACCAGCCGGAACAGCCAAGCAACTGCATAGCAATGCTCTTAAAAACCAGCCAGAACAGCCTAGCAACTGCATAGCAACATTCTTAACAACCAGCCATAACAGCCTAGCAACTGCATAGCAACGCTCTTAAAAACCGGCCAGTACACCCAAGCAACTGCATAGCAACACTCCTAAAACCCAGCCGGAACAGCCTAGCAACTGCATAGCAACACCCTTAAAAACCAGCCAGAACAGCCTAGCAACTGCATAGCAACACTCCTAAAACCCAGCCGGAACAGCCTAGCAACTGCATAGCAACGGCCTTAAAAACCAGCCGGAATAGCCAAACAAATGCATAGCAACACTCTTAAACACCAGCTAGAACAGCCTAGCAACTTCATAGCAACGCTCTTAAAAACCGACCAGTACACCCTAGCAACTGTATAGCAGCACTCCTAAAAACCAGCCGGAACAGCCTAGCAACTGCATAGCAATGCTCTTAAAAACCTCCCAGAACACCCTAGCAACTACATAGCAACAGTCTGAAAACCAGCTAGAACAGCCTAGCAACTGTGCATAGCAACACTCTAAAAACCAGCCTGAGCAGCCTATCAACTGTGTAGCAACACTCTTAAAAACTGGCCAGTACGCCCTAGCAATGGCATAGCAACGCTCTTAAAAAAACGGCCAGTATGCCCTAGCAACTGCATAGCACCCATCAAGAAACCGTCCAGAACAGCCTAGCAACTGCGTAGCAATGATCTAGAAACCTCCCAGAACGCCCTAGCAACTGCATAGCAACGATCTTAAAAACCGTCCAGAATGCCCTAGCAACTGCATAGCAACACTCTAAAAACCCTCCCAGGACACCCTAGCCTAGCAACTCTTCAGGGCGGTTTGTGTCTCTGGAAGGTGTTTGCGATGTTTTTCCATTTGCAGTGTTTTCTGGGAGGTTTTAGGCTGTTTCAGTGTTTGTACAGCAGATCACACACTCACACTCACACTCACAGACACGCCCTGCTGTTCCACATCAATATTTCAGCATGTTCAGTTTGAAGAGTGGTCCTCATGCTTATGTAGGGCATCACACTCACATCACCAACACACGGCCACACGTGACACATCACCACATTCCACACCTAAAATCCAAAGATAAGAGTCAGAAATCATATTGTGCATAAAGAAATTGAAGCCTGTTTTAGGACTGTTAGGATTTGTTGCTTTGTGATAATTTTCAAACACATTTCCCCTCAAAATCTTACTTTAAAATAATTAATTATTACAAAAAATATTTTTACTTTTGCATCTTTCAAACAAGATGTATTTACTCAAGAAGCTAATTATTAATTACTTTTTTTTTTGGTATGGTTTTTCTGTTATTATTTTTATATTTGTTATTTTTTTAAGCTTGTCAGAATTTATTTTTCTTACCCCAACAACAATTAGTATTTTTTATTTTTTTTTTTCATTTTAAGTGGCCAGTACGCCCTAGCAACGGCATAGCAACGCTCTTAAAAAAACGGCCAGAACGCCCTAGCAACTGCATAGCAACGATCTTAAAAACCATCCAGAATGCCCTAGCAACTGCATAGCAACACTCTAAAAACCCTCCCAGGACACCCTAGCCTAGCAACTCTTCAGGGCGGTTTGTGTCTCTGGAAGGTGTTTGCGATGTTTTTCCATTTGCAGTGTTTTCTGGGAGGTTTTAGGCTGTTTCAGTGTTTGTACAGCAGATCACACACTCACACTCACACTCACAGACACGCCCTGCTGTTCCACATCAATATTTCAGCATGTTCAGTTTGAAGAGTGGTCCTCATGCTTATGTAGGGCATCACACTCACATCACCAACACACGGCCACACGTGACACATCACCACATTCCACACCTAAAATCCAAAGATAAGAGTCAGAAATCATATTGTGCATAAAGAAATTGAAGCCTGTTTTAGGACTGTTAGGATTTGTTGCTTTGTGATAATTTTCAAACACATTTCCCCTCAAAATCTTACTTTAAAATAATTAATTATTACAAAAAATATTTTTACTTTTGCATCTTTCAAACAAGATGTATTTACTCAAGAAGCTAATTATTAATTACTTTTTTTTTTGGTATGGTTTTTCTGTTATTATTTTTATATTTGTTATTTTTTTAAGCTTGTCAGAATTTATTTTTCTTACCCCAACAACAATTAGTATTTTTTATTTTTTTTTTTCATTTTAAGCAGAATTTTCAAAATTATTTTTAAAAATATATATTTGTTGCTAGGGTGTTCTGGGTAAGTTTTTAGAGTGTTGCTATGCAGTTGCTAGGGTGTTCTAGGTAAGTTTTTAAAGTGTTGCTATGAAGTTGCTAGGGCGTTATAAGAGGTTTTATAGTGTTGCTATGCAGTTGCTAGGGTGTTCTGGGTAAGTTTTTAGAGTGTTGCTATGCAGTTGCTATGGTGTTCTGGGTAAGTTTTTAGTGTTGCTATGCAGTTGCTAGGGCTTTATGAGAGGTTTTATAGTGTTGCTATGCAGTTGCTAGGGTGTTCTGGGGAAGTTTTTAGAGTGTTGCTATGCAGTTGCTAGAATGCTCTGCGTAAGTTTTTAGAGTGTTGCTATGCAGTTGCTAGGGTGTTCTGGGTAAGTTTTTAGAGTGTTGCTATGCAGTTGCTAGGACATTTTGCACATTTTGTCCACCTGTTTTCTGATCACTCACATGATTAGGGGACTCATTGGTGTCTGGAGCTCAAACACTACATGATGACACACACACACACACACACACACACACTGAACGCTCTGAACTCACAGTGTTCAGATGTTCATTATGATGCTCAGCAGACTCACGGGAGTCATTAGCAATGATAATTGCTTGCTCAAATGAACTGTATTTCTGGAGCCAAGAATAAGAAGTCATTCAGGAAGAAGCAAGGACAGACTGTCCCACATGATCTCATGGTCTTTACACACAGCTGAAGTCAAACACCTTCCATGAAACCCTCCACAATCATCAGAGCTGAACCTCCTCAAACCTTTATGACAACACGGTCACACTGAAATACAGTCAATCAGTTTGTTTGCGCGATTCATCATGTCAATAAATGATTCACATAGCAACTGAACAATTCACTGTTAATTTTTCAAATCTTTCAAACAAGATGCATTTACTCGAAGCTAATTATTAATTACCTTTTTGGAATAATAATAATAACAACAATAATAATAATAATAATAATAATAATTTGTGTAGAAAATGTAAATATTATTATTATTATATTCCTGTTGCTTTTTTTTTCTTACCCCAACAGCATTTTTTTTTTTTCATTTTAATCATAAACCTTGCTATTTATTTTTATTTATTATTTAGTTTTTTTTATTGCTACTTTTTTAATATTTATGTTTAAAACAAGAAACTAGGTGATCTTTTTCTGAAGCAAAATATTTTTAACTACAAAAAAAATATCTTAATCAGTATTTTTTGCATCTTTCAAACAAGATGCATTTACTCAAAACAATTTATTAATTACTTTTTGGAATTTATTATTATTATTATTATATTCCTCTTGCTTTTTTTTCTTATTTGGACACTTTTTTGTTTTAATCATAAACCTTGCTGTTTATTTTTATTACATTTTTTTTGCTACTTTTTAATATTTAGCTTAAAACAAGTAGCTATTTAAAATGCTGTTTACGTTTTCAGCTCAGATATGCAAATCTGTGTGTTCTATAATTTATTGTAAAATTGATTTCAATTTAACATGATCTATGATGTTTTTGCAAAATTAAACAGCATCATCCAATAGATAAACATAGATTTATTTATATTTGTAATTTTCCCCTTCTTCAGAAAATGTACAAGTCTTCTCAGGTCCATGTTATTAATAATTTGCGAGTTTTTAACTTTGTTTAACTTGTGTTTAACTTTGCATGGCGCGTTTCATAAGCGCTGATGTTACTGAGGCCACAGGAGGAAACTGCTTGAATCATTTGAAACTGTATAATTGTATAATTGCCTGAAGGAGGTATTTCTGCAGTCCTGCTGTTGTTGTAGTTCTCTCATTATTTTGGTGCTTGACTCATTTCCTCTCGGTCTCCTCTTGACCCGATCCTGTGACTGAGACAGGTTTAACATCTGTGCTTCCTCTGCTCTCAATGCTGCTCTTCAACATCAGCACACAATGTTTTCTTTCTTTCCAGTCGGAGGATCTCGGAGCGTGTTCTCAGTTCGAGGCCAGTCGTAACGCCCGCAACATGATGCCCAGCATGAGCTGCGGTGTCTTCCCAGAGTTCACGCTCCGCAAACCGTCCTCCGAGACGGACATCGAGAACTGGGCGTCCAAACACTTCAACAAGCACACGCAGGTACACCAAAACACCCATTAAACCCTAGAAACCTACTGTTTCATATATGATATGTGAATATCTGGCCTCTAAATGATCAACATGATCAAAATTTTGCTTTACTTTTTAGTTCACAAATATGATCATCAGACATTTGAGGAACGTTTATTTGTTCATCTCTCAATCATCATTGTATTGCATTGCATTATATGTTTGGATCATTTAAATCTCTTGTTACTAAGACATATTATTGGAGATATAGAGTGACGACTGATATTTATATCATTTTATGTAAGTATCTGCTGTACTGTTATAAAGATCTCATTGATTTACATCACAAGCATCAGAATTTCATTGTATAAATATCAGCATCTGAATAAAATTGAGCTATTTTTCCTCCATATTCTCACTATATCATGTTATATGAGTCATAAAAGTATCAAATATGATACAAAACATAAAACACATTGTTTTTAAAATATTTTGTCTGAAGGTTCAGTAAACTGTTCCATTTCTAAATAATTCGATTTTTCTGACTATTATTTCATATGTCAGGCTTTACAGGGTTGAAATATAACATAAAAATGTAACAAAATATTGAAAATGTAACAAAATATTCATAAAAACTAATGAAAATGACACAACAAACTGTTCCATCACAACAAAATTACAAAAATTAAAATGGAAAATTTAAAAATAAAAACAAATTCTAAATATTAATAAAACTAATAAAACGGACAACAAAAACACACAACAGAATTGCTCAAACTAAAATGGAAAATATAAAAATTAAAATTAATTCAAAATATTAATAAAAACTAATAAAAATGACAAAAACATGCAACAAAATAAAAAAAATTAAAATGGGAAATATAAAAATAAAAACTGATTCGAAATGGTATTAACAAGATAAAAAAAAAACTATAAAAAAATTACAAAAACATGCAACAAAATTACTGAAACTAAAATTAAAATGGAAAATATAAAAATTAAAATTAATTCAAAATATTAATAAAAACTAAAAAAAAATACAAAAACAACAAAAGTACTAAAACTACAATTTAAATAAAAACATAAAAAATGTTTCAAATATTAGAAGCAAGTAATAAAAATTTCAAAAACGCAAAACGAAATTACTAAAACTAATATTAAAATGTAAAATATAAAAATAAAAATGACTTCAAAATATTATTAAAAACGAATAAAAAATTACATAAATACACGGCAAAATTAAATGGAAAACATATAAATAAACTAATTTAAAATATTAATCAAAACTAATAAAAGAGACAACAATATGCAACAAAATTACAAAAATTTTAGTTTTAGTAAATTTCTATAATATACAAGATGATGCCAACCCTGAAACAACTTACAGAACTACCAAATTTTACTATAAGTTTGATTGCATCATATGATAATTGCTGTTAATAGTGTTCATCGTCTGTTTGATTGGGCTCTGGAGGTGGTGGTGATGGGCTGGAGCTGCCAGGGTCTGCGGGATGAGCTCTACATCCAGCTCTGCCGACAGACCACCGAGAACTTCCGCTACGACAGTCTCCAGAGAGGCTGGGAGCTCATGGCCATCTGTCTGGCCTTCTTCCCCCCGACGCCTCGCTTCCACAGCTACCTGGAGGGCTACATCTACAGACACATGGACCCGCTCAACGACACCAAGGGTACGAGACACCCGACACCAGAATCCCTGTTAAACAACCCGTGCATTTCCTGCTGATCTGGCATCCGGCCGAACTCAAACTAAATTGGTGCAGGGTTTACTTTAAAACAGCTTTCAATCAGAAATCGTTAGTGAATTTCACAAATAACGACAAAGAAACAGCAAGTAATGCATTGCATTAAACGTGAAATCATGACATTATTTCAAGTCTTATAATATGAATTTAAAATATTTTATATATTTTTATTTATAATATGAATTTAAAATATTCAATACGTAATGTGTTTTTTTTCTGACATTTTTTTCACTTCACTGTGAAGGAAGAGTACATTTTATTTTATTATCACTGATATAATATTATAATTTTTTTATATATTTTGAAATTTGATATAATTTTCATTATTTTGTGTTTTAATTTTAATTAAAGTTTTAGTAATTTTGTTGTGTTTTTGTCATTTTAATTTTTTAATTTTTTATCATTGTTTATTTTTTTTAGTTTCTATTTATTAACTTCAGTTTTTAGTTTTAATTTATTTAGTTTTAGTTGAATTTGCTAGTAAATTTCACAAACAATGACAAAGAAACGACAAGTAACGCATTGCATTAAACGTGAAATTATGACATTATTTCAAGTTTTATAATATGAATTTAAAATATTTTATATATTTTTATTTATAATATGAATTTAAAATATTCAATATGTAATGTGTTTTTTTTTAGACATTTTTTCACTTCACTGTGAAGGAAGAGTACATTTTATTTTATTATCACTGATATACTATTATAATTTGTTTCGTAGCGGGAACCTTGGGCACATAGCCGGGCCGGGGCCTCAGGGTTACCTGGGAGTCAGCCGGCCCGAACTCTAGGCACGAATCGTTGACCGAAAATGCGTGCAGGTCCCCTACCCTCCCTCTAGGCCAATGCCAGCAGGAGCAAAGTCTTCATCGAAAGAAATTTCAGCTCGACCGTCTGCAAAGGCTCAAATGGGCCCTGCTGTAGTGCTTTGAGCACTAGAGTCAGGTCCCAAGAGGATATA